TTTTTAGTTGATTTTTTAATTCAATGTTGTTTAATTCTTATATTTTTTCCATTTTTATTTGTTGGCATTTTTATATTTAGTTATTTACAGTTTTTTGCAAATATTCCAGGCTTGATAAATATATACTAGCCTTTTCTATTTTTTCCTTTTCTTAACGAATTTTTTCACGTTCTTCTTCTATGTTTACTTGTATTTTTCTGTGAGTTTTTCTCATTTCTTTTATTTTTAATAACTCTTTGCATTATATTTAAAAAATATCAGGCATTTCTTGGCCTTTTTTTTTCTTTTTTAAGACATTATTCAATTATTCTTTTATATCCGATAAATTACTTTTTAAATGATTTATATCTTATAATATTTATTATGAAAATTCTGTTATTGACATTTTTTGAGAAAAAAATAAACAATTAAAAATATATAAATAAATATATATAATTATTTATATTTTATTGAAATGAGAATCATATAAAATATCTAAATGAAATAATCAAAATAAATTTAAATTGTTTTTTTCAAAATAAAATAAAAAATTATTGATATTTAGAAATAAATAAACTTAAAAAATTATAAATATTATATTAAATAAATAATTTTATATAAATAATATTAAAAATAATATATTTTATTTAAAGTGTTATCACTTAATTAAAAACATTTTTTATTAATTAATATATTTTTATTTTTTTAAACTAAAAAAAATTAATAAAAATATAATCCATTATTTTAATAATAATTTTATGTATATTATAATTTCAGTATTTTTTAAACTAAATTAATTGTTATTAATTTTTTTAAATAAATATTTATTTTGATTTATATATATATATATAATTAATAAATTCTATTTATTTAAGTATAATTAAAAAAATGATGTTTTTAAAAACTTTTTTTAAATATCATAATTTTATAATAAAAGCAAATATTTCACATAATCTAATTATCATTTAAATTAAATTATGAAAAAAAAAAATTGAAAATATTGGATTACATTTAACCAAAAAAAATTATATAAATATTAAAAATTATAATTATGTATAATGCTTTTTTAATTATCAAATAATAAGTTCAAAACAATCACGGTCTTAAATAACACCGAAATTTAATTATACTAAACTTTAATAAGTAAATCCAAAAAGTATGGAGTTTCTAACGCCATGATGTATATTTTAAGGAAATATTATATGGCTTTATTTGTCAAAAAAAAATTAATTAGTAACTAGATGCTTGTAAATATATTTTTTTATCTTAGAATTATTAAAAAATATAATATATACGAAATACATTGATATAAATTTAAGTAAGTATGCAAATTAAATATTTGCATTTAAGCCTATTAAAAACCAAAAGTACTGGAAATCTACACTCCTGATTATTTATAGGAGAAGAATTGTAAAATCGTATAAATATATAAATTTATTTTAACAACATTTCATTAAAACTTTTAAGTAAACAAATTATTAGATAATCAACTTTTACAATAATTTATTTAAGTACAAAAATATAATAAAATGTAACATATGCAGTATTTTTTTTAAGATGCAATTAAATAATACATTTATAAATAGATAAAGGATTTAAATCTTTAAAAAATAAAATATATATATTAGGTAATTAAATTCTGAATATTTATTAAATTATACAAAGTTTATGAAGCTAAAGATTAAACTTGTCTTATTTTTTATAATGCATAAAGTAAAAAAAAAAACGGGTTAATGAAATTTAAATTAAATTGATTTTAAAAAATATACTGCAAGCAATTCAATACTTACATAATATAATTTATAGGATATCTTAAACTAGAAAAAAATTATTAAAAACAAAAAAATCAATATCTGATATTATAATTGCTGATTTTGGGCTTGCCACTTTATTAGACAAGCATATTATTTTTTTAAAAGATATGTAACTGCTGGTTATTTTTTATTTTTTTAAAAGATATGTAACTGCTGGTTTAATTGCTCCTGAAGTTTTTTTATATAATTTTTAATTTAATGATACTATATTTTAATAAACAATTATATGTATTTATATATTAAAAAATCTATAAATTATTAAATTTTTATTTGATTAATATTTTATTTTTTTAAATTATTAGCATGAATAAAAATTAGTATAATGTTATTGAAATATTGTTTATTATTATTTTAATTTAAAAAGTATAAATTTTAAAAATTTGAAAATTTTCAATTATTAATAATAAGTGAAAAAGGACTGAGAATCTTATTATAAAAAATGTTGTGATATTTTTTGTATTGGAATAATATTTATTATTCTTTAAAAGATAATAATCATTTTAAGGGTAAACATATTTTAAAAAACAGACTTTTATGATTATAATTTAAAGTAAATTTTTATTGAAGGAAATATTTACTTTAAACAATTTTTAATCGGAAATTATTATTCAGATTATCATCAGAAAATCTTTAAATTATCCTTATTTATAATTATATCTTAATCATAAAATTATTTTTTTATAGTATATAGACTAGCATGATATTGAATACTTAATAAATGTAAGAAATAAATAACTTTATTATTAGTTTATTCATACATCAAGGATGCCAGACATTCATTAATGGAAATATCTAAAAATGAAAAATTAACATTCATTAATTAATATTAGGATAAATATAAGAACTAATAATGATTAGTTAAAATATAAGTGCCAAGAAAAATTGTTTAAAATAAATAGTATAGAATAATAATATAATTAGAATAAAATAATATTATTTTATTAAGAATATTATGAAAAATCTAATAGTTCGGTTAAAATCATGATATTGGTTAAAAGCTCACTTTTTTTGATTCCGTAAAAATAAAAACGGCTTTATTAAAAATTTAATTGTATTAATTTTTGTTAATCTAATTATTAATTTTAATTTTTTATGTAAAATAAAAGACAAATATCTATATTTATATTATTAAAATGAGTTTAAAGCAATTTGCAGAAATCAACTTTTACTTTTGCTAAAAAAAAATTCAATTGTCATTTATTATCAATATTTAAAATTTTCGAATGTTCAAATTTATTTAATTTTAAAAATGTTAAAATTTTATAAAAGTATAAAAAAAACAAAAATAGTAAAAAAATACAATAAATAATAAATGATAGATTAAAAGTAAAGGCATGAATTAGAATAAAAATATAATGGTTTTAATCTCAAGAATTTGTGAAATTAATTAGATTTATAAATTAAAAAAATAATATAATATATTTTTAAATATAAAAATAATAATAATTCAAAATATAAAATAAAAACATAACAAAACATAATAAATAAATCATACAATATTTTACTATATAAAAAAAACGGTATAATACTATGATAAAAATGATAAATAAAATATATTATTGAAAAATTAAAATATAAATAAAAATATATTTTTGAATAAATTTATTAAAAGATATAAATAGTAAATAATTATTATTATGTATTTAAATATTCTTATAAGCATAATAAAAATAAAAAATAAAAAAAATTAATAGATTAATAAAATAAAAATTATAAATAATTAAAAAAAAAAAATAGAATAATTATAAAATTAAAAATTAAGTTATAAAATTAAAACACAAAAAATAAAAATTAAATATTAAATTAAATTAAATTAAATTAAATTAAATTACATTAAATTAAATTTAATTAATTTAAATTACATTAAATCAATATATATTCTTCTGTATTAAACATTTTAGATTCTTTAAACTTTATAACTTTATTATAAATATTTTTTTTATAGAATCGATGAAATTACAAATAATTTAGAAACACTGACTTAATAATATTTTTTTTTTACAATCTAATATAAAAAATATGTTTAATTGGTATTTTTATTCATTTATATAACAAATAAAGTAATAATTATATAAATATATATATTGTGTATTTTAATTATGAAATCATAAAAATAATATAAATTTTACGAAATTATATAAATTTGATATTTAACTATTCTATTTGTGTTTTTTTTTTAAAAATCTTAATTATAATAATGTAGAAAAAAAAAATAACAAAAATGTTAGGATAAAAAATTATCGCGATCTAAAATTCCTCTCTTCGTCTATACTATAATCCATAGATTTCTGATTAGTCGCCATTTTCATTGCTTTTTTTCTTACTATTTATTTAAATTTAGTTTGTCTAAAATGCCCTAAATTTTTTTATAATATCCTTCAATTATATTTGAACTAATAATTTTAAATTTAAAAATATTGTTTAAAAAAATTTGAATTTTTCTGATATAATTTTATATATTTAAAGAATTAAATATAAAAAATAAATTTCATTTATTAAACTCGATAGCTTATTTAAAACAATATTATACATAAATTTCTTTTAACAAAAAACAAAAATTTTTCAAAGCATTTTTGAATAAGGTTATATAATAGTTAAATAAGTAGTTTTATGGTAATTATTATTATGTACTAAATTATTTAACTGTTATTTAAAAATATTTTCAGTTTATAATTATTTTTTACATTTTAAAATTATATAATAAATATGTTGTATATTTTTCTAAAAAATTTTATTAATAAATTATTAAAAATTAAAAATAATTAGAAAAATTCTGTTTTTGATTTAATAATCTAAAATTTATTTTTTATATTTTAAAATTAAAGAGAGTCTATTTATTTTAATTATTAATTTTTAGATATTAAATCTTTTATCGTTATGATGCTAATTTTTGATAAATTTAAAATTTTTAAGAAGTATTGAATTACATTTGCTTTAGAGTACCTGCCTCTATTCTAATGAAGCTCAAATTTCGGAAACATAATGTTAATAAATTCTTAAATATGCATAAGGTAATTTAGAATAAAATAAAAATACATTAAGTAAAATAAGATTATAAAAAAAATTATAATAATATAAATATAAATTAAAAGTATAAAATTATATAATAATTATAATATCAAAAAAAAAACTATTATACAAATAATTTAGCATTAAAAATAAACATATAAATATAATAAAATAAAAAAAAATTAAAAATATAATATAATGAGAAATATAATTTTATAAGATTATTATAAGTAATTTTATTTTATAAATATGACTTTTTTATGTCTTAAATTTTCGATAATTTTATTATAATAATTAAAAAATAATATAAAATAATAGTTATTATATAGAAGATTTAGACTAAGTAGAGGCTTTTGATTTTGAGGAATTTTCATTAACACTGTATATATTGACAAAGAAAAAATAAATTTACGTAATATAAATAAATGAAAATATGACTAAGCATTCCTTATAAAATAAAATTGATTTAAGTTATTAAATTCCTGAAATATAATAAGTATTAGGCGTAAAATATATATTAGAATTAGAAAGTGTGATAATAGTGTTAAAAAATGGTGAAATATTTAAATATTGTATTAATTTGAAAGAAGGAGAAAGTGTAGGATGTATAGAAAATGGAATTCTAGGCTTTTCTTATTCTCCAAACTAAGATGTAATTGTTATTGCAACAGGAAATAATACATTAATAACATTAGATAATAATTTTGATATATAAAATGAAGTACCATTAAATGATAATAATGAAGAAATTTATATTTGTAATAATTAAAAAAATTGTTGTGTTTATTTTTCATGGAAAGCTGATGCAAAAGTTATTTTTTTAAAACAATATTTAAAATTATTTAAATAAAAAGTTTTTTGTATGTAATTACCCAGTAAAAAATGGAAGAAAATGTCTGACAAGATCTGTGTAATTAGAAGTAATAAAATCTGCTGCTAAACCAGAAAGTAATAATGGAATTGTTTAATCTGTATCTGAATAAGCTATTTAAAGTATAATAAAAAAAAAAATAGTTATATTTAAAAAAATTAATTTCTTAATTTCTTAATTTCTTTATTTATTTATTTATTTATTTATTTATTTATTTATTTATTTATTTATTTATTTATTTATATATCTATATAATATATTTTTTATATTTTTTATATTTTATAGACCTATAAGGTTAAGTTTGTTGGTAGCCTACTAGTAATTTAATTGTTGGGTATGATTTTTTTAAAAATAACACCAGAATTATCTTTTGGGAAAAAAATGGATTAAGACATGGTGAATTTATCCTTAATATAAATCCAAATGAAATTAGATAAAGCAACGAAATATATATCTAAAATATTTTATTTAATAAAGATTCAGAAATACTTGCTATACAATTAGATGAAAATATTTTACTTTATCATAAAAGCAATTATTAATGGTTTTTAAAAAAAATTATTTAAGGTATCACAAAAATTTTAGGAATTTAATTTAGTGTATAAAATAGCAAAAAACTTATAGTAGTTTATGAAAATCAATTTATAGAAATTTTTGATTTATAGATGTCTTATTCTTAATGCTTACATGATAATTAATAATTAAACTCTTAGTGCTTATCTGTTTTTGTAAATGGAAATCAATTAAATGTTACATCTTTTAAAAGAAATATTATGCCTCCTCCTATGAGTAATTTTTAATTTGATCTTAAAAATCCTGTTATTTCGTTTTCAGTTGGAAGAAGTAATTTTTTTGTATTTATATACTTTTTTTTATTTAATATGAAAAGATTATGTGTGTGGAGTTAGTTAAGAAGGCTTTCATTTATTTTAAATTGATGAGGAATTAAAAGTCAAAGAATTTTTTATAAAAAATGATAAATATTTTGAAAAGTAAGATAGATTAAGGCAATTTTAGTATTTTGATTGTGTTTATTACCATTCTATATTTTTTATCAGTAAAAACCAAAATCAATAAGTAATTACTGAAATCATTATAAACCCTAAAAACTTATAAGTTTAATAAGTATTCCAAAAATAAATTTCTCATCCTATTTTGTGCGTATGTCCAAGCGGTTTCATGTATTCTTAATAAAAAATGGAAGAATAAACTAATTAATTTATTTATTTAGCAAATCATTAAGGAACTGTATTCAAATATATATTAAACAATTAAGAGAGTCAGTTAATAAAAAACACTTAATTCGAATTAGTTCCAATAAAAATGTAAGCAACAATAATTTAAGGATAAGAATTATTATTTGGTATTTCTTTAAATCATCGTCTAATGATATTGAATAATAGAATAATATCTTCTTAAGCAACTTCCTTTGGATTATATGATTCTTATTTGCTTTACACCTAAAATACTTCTGGAATGTATTAATCTCTATTTGTTTTTGACCTTAATGATCCTTAGAATCCTATCACAAACACTTCTGTATAAATACCTGGAATAGATAGCAAAAGCTTAAATGTTAGAAATATAGAAAGAGGTTGTACTATTGTGATTTTAGCAAATGATAGTCTCGTCTTTTAATTACCAAGAGGAAATTTAGAAACGATTAATTGTAGAGTTATATTTTTAAGAAAAGTTAAAGAGTTAATTTGTTTGGACAAATACTATGAAGCTTTTGAGTTGTGTAAATCTAATAAACTAGACCTTAATTTAATTTTCGATATTAATTAAAATAAATTTATTAATAATATTTAGAGTATTTTATAGTCTTTTTAAAAAACAGAATACATTAATATTTTGATAGCTGCTATTAAATCTAATTTATCGGAAGAATTATAATATTGTGTATATGATAATGAATATTAATAAAGCAAAAATAATCATATTAGTTTCTTAAATAAAAAAGTGAATATTTTCTGTGATACTATTATTAATGCATTAAATACAATAGGAGAGTAAAATAAATAATATATATATATATTATATAGAATATACTATTTATAAATTTAATAAGCCAAAATTATTTGTACTGTAAAATGACTGCTCATATTAAAAAAACACCAACAGAACTTGAATATGTTTTATCAGAAATAAAAAAAATGAAAGATTAAGAATACAATATTTTTTAAGAATACCATCCTCCTCATTTGAATCCAGAAACAAATAAAAAATATGAAAATATTAAAAAAGTTTCTTCGAAATCTTTATTAGAGTTTGTTTGTTGGCTTGCAAATGCTGATAAAATCTATGATATTTCCTTAGGAACTTATGATTTAGAGTTAGTAGCAATGGTAGCTTAATTTACATAAAAAGATCCTAAAGAATATATTCCTTATTTAGAAAGTTTAAAGAAAATAGATGATTTAGTGGAGCGTAAATACACTATAAATATGGATTTAAAAAGATATGATAAAGCCGTTTTAGAACTCTCATTAGGAAACGAAAAATAAAAAGAAATAGCTTTATAGCTAATTAAAAAACACAATCTTTTTAATGTCGGATTAAAAGCATTTAATAAAGATAATTAACTTTTAAAAACAATAAAGATATTAATGGGAGATTTCCTTTTTCAAAAAAAAGAGTTCTAATAAGCTTTGCTTTCCTATGAATCTGTTGGAGCTTTCCAATAGGCTTTATAAGTTTGTATAAGCTCAGGAAATGTAAAAAAAGCCTTGTTTTTTTCTTAAAAACTAGGTAAAAATAGTGAAGTAGTGGTCAACGAATTAATCTAATAACTTCTATAAATGGATAATATGTATAGGCTGGTAAAGCTTATAAAAAAATAGGGTAATTTGAAAGGCAATTGATTATTTTGTAAAAGGAACGAATGGTAACAATGTACTGACTGTTTAATTAAAATTAATATTAATTAGGACTTATTGAAATTCAATATAATAGTTCCTGCGCTTATCTTATAATGTAATTTGAAGTGTAACCTATTAAGAGAACTCAAAAATTAATTTTTGAGTAAATATGCAAGGCTTAAAGTTATTTAAGAAGAAAAGGTAAACATTTTTATTGTATTTTTTATAAAATATTAATATAGAAATTAAGACCCCATTTATTATAAAGCATTGGCTTAGGTTAATTTGGATAAACTGAATCTGATATGATTTCCGATATTTCTGAATCTACAAACAAAACAAATTCTACACATACTTCATTTACAATATATATATATATATATATATTTTTGTTTTTTTTTAAATATATATTTATATAAAATATTTTAGATCTTAAACTACTGGGATGAAGAAAAAGAAAGATAAGAAGCCTAAAAATTTGTTAAAAAGAAATGTGAAAGAAGGATCTCCTGTTGAAGAAGAATATATCGTGGAATTCCTTTAAGATATTTAATAAAGACTTGATATATTTAGCGATGTTAAAAATCTTATTTAGTATTTAATTTATTATGATTTATTAAGTGAGGCGGAAGAACTTAATAGAGAAATGAAGCTCTATGGTGAAGAAGTTAATACTAAAGTTAAATCACTTAAATAAATTATATTTGAGGAATAAAATATCTAATTATATGAAATATATCCTCATATAAAAGAGTTTGATAAAAATAATATGAAAGCGTTTGATATCTTTTTATGTAATTTTGATCATGTTTTATGATTAAAAAATCTTTTTAAATTTATTTTTTTTGTTTTATTTTTTTTAATATCGATTTTTTTAAAAGTTTTTTAATTTTAAAATAATATATATTTTATTTCCGTAAAACTAAAAACTTTAGATTTATGTAAAAAAAACATAATTGTTATATAAATATACTTTATTATATTGTATTATTATATATATATATATATATATATATATATATATATATATATATATTATTTTAATTTTTTCTATATTAATTTCTTAAAATATTAATTAATATTTTATTAACTTTAATTTAAATTACTTTCAATTATTTATAATAAAAAAATAAATTAAATTTAAAGAGAGAAGATGTAAAGAGTATTGGAAAATTATAACTGATGAATTACAATATTTTAATATTTAAAGTATACATTTTAAATTTAAAAGTTAAATCATTTTTTAAAATATACTAATTATATATTATTTTTATATATATTTCAAAACGTTTAAATTATTTTTAAAGTAAAAAAAATTATACTCAAGAAGAAATCAAATAACAATTAATATAAATGTTTTAATATTTTAATTTTTAATCATTTACCATTCAAAATATACTACAAGCAAGAATATGTTCTTCTTTAAGCTATGCTAGAATTTAAGTATTCTAATTTTCCAATTCTTAATAAGGTTTATAATATTATTTAAGAATTTTTATATCTTAATAAATTTGATTATATTACTAATGATCATCAAATTCTTCTTCTATAATAAATATATACGACTTTTTGTTAAGGAAAAAAAAAAATATACCATAATAAAGTTCTATTTATTAATTGCTTTTAGTAAAGGTGGCTTTTTTTTCTCCTTTACTATTCTATCTAGGAAAGTTTTTCGGATTATTATTTTTACTATTGTTAGTTTAATGGGTATTTACTCTTTCTAAACTTTAAATATCTTGAATATATTATTAAGATGCTTAAATAATAGAATCGTTATTATAATTTTTTTATTATTTAATTTAGTAATTTTTTTATTTATCTTCTTCTTTTTAAAATATCAAATTTGATGATGATATATTAAATTGTTCTTATGATACATTAGTTTCAATTGTTTTTTATTATTTTATTGTTTCAGGTTATTATGTGTTAGAATATTTCTCTTTCAAATTTTATATTGTGCTTTTTCTTTATTATAAATACTTATCCGCCATTGGACTATCTAAGTTTATTTTTTAAGGCTTTTATAATATAGATGTTGTATACTCTCTGGGAGAAGTATCAAAACTTTAAAACGGATCTGCATTTTGTGAAGACTATTAGTCTATATTTTTGAAAATTATTTTAGATTTTAAAGGACTATCTAAACCTGTTTAAAATTTATACTTCGATTTTAATTAATTTAATGAATTTCCTTTATGATAATAAAAAAAAATAAAAAAAAAAAAAACTTGTATAATCATATTGTGAATTTTATTTCATTTTTTTTATAAATTAATTTATAAAATTATAATTTATTTAAAATTATGTTTAAAAAAATTGAATAATATATATATATTATAATCTTAAACTTAAAACTAAATAAAAATTAAAATTAT